ATAATCTCCCAAGTTAACCAAAGTATTATTAGCTAGGGCTCAACTTTCTTGATAATAATAATAGTGTTTAAAATCACTTACTGGCTTTTTAATACCATTTATTTTGATCCAAAAATCGCCAAATTCTTTTCATCTGCTACTAATTAAATCTTTTATAACAAACCAAGACAAAATAAACCAATAAAGAAGATCAAGGCTAAATTGTTCATCTTTTAACATTTCTACTATTTTTTTAAGAGTGGGGGAAGTACTAAGTGCATCGCTAAAAGACCTGGCAAGGCCAGTTGGCGCATTCGAACTAGCATTTTCACAAAAACTTTTCAGCCGACCAATAACCGGCGGCACAACTAAAAAAACAATGGCCGAATAAAGTAGCATTTTACGGACATATTGATTTTTTCAGGAAAAAAAACTTTCGAGTTGGGGATTTCTTAACCCTTTGTGGCGGGGAAACAAATCCCAAGTATTAAAGGTAATAAATAATAAAGCCAAAATCACTGTAAAAGCACTAGCAAAAGATAAAATTAGCAAAACAGCACAAGCGATATGGCTGAGACTGTTAAGGATAAATATTCGCTTGTCATGGAGATAAAAATTATTGTTTTCAATATATTTATCTTTTTTTCACAGGTATCTATTAAGTACTAAAGAGATAATATTTACAACAATTATTATAACAAGAAAGTAAATAGCATAATTCAAAAGGTTAAATATTTCCCTTTCGTTAGCACCTAAAAAATACTGATTAAATTTCCAATTTCTGCCAAAAAGTTGACTGATTTTTCCCACTATGTCGGTATCTGCATATTTCTTTCCGAGGAAAATAAATAAAAAAGAAAAAATCACCCACGAAATAGTGCGAAATATTAACTTAGAAAAGAAAAAACGGGGGTAATGTGATAATTCAGTCTTTTTTTTTGCCATAATAAAGTATTTTTTAGTAATTTAACTTCACCAAGAAGAAAACTCGAGCAGTTTTAACTTAATTTTCCTAATTTCCCTTTCTCCCTTATTAATTTCATAGAAATCAATTTTTTTTACATTTT